CACTCCAATATGGGAAGTGGGCATCTTAACCAGGGTCTTAATAACTAAACACTCACCCCCATAGCAAAGTTTGACCATGTCTGATCATACCTACCATGTCCTCCAGGCATTCTACTTATTTGTTCACCTGCTCACCTTTCCCCTGGACTATTGGTTCAAAGAGGGAGTTACTTTAATTCATCTTTCATTCCCTGTAAACTATGGCATGGGTCCTACCACGCAATGGGTCTCAAAAATACTTACTAGATTATTTTGCCAGCACTGGCTTGCCAATTCTAACCAATGGCATTTGTATAACTGTCCATCACAATTTGTACTTAAATACTTTTGGATGATGTCAATAAAATATTGATTTTTTTGTATATCTCTTTTCTCTTTACATCATTTTTTGATTTATATATGTGTATGTTTTAAATGGCAGGCCCCAATTAAGCAAACCTATTCTTGATCAACTTATTCTTGATTTTCTAAAAATTATTTAACCACAGTTTCTTTTCTATAGTCCAAATTAAAATACGTCATTGAAATTAAAGTAAGCCTACAGGAGTGCCATTAGTATATTCAAAGGCAAATGTTGATAATAATGGTATTTACTTACTGAAATTTAGCAGTATTCATTCAAAAACAACATGCAGCCCTAACTGCTTTAGATTAAAGAACACAAGTTACTTTAAAGTTCTGTACTCTAATTAGGTAGAAAATCATTTCTTTCCCTCTTATTAACTATCTCATTTCCATTATTCTCTATGTCACTTTAAGTAGAACATCCATTTGAAACAATTAGTAGAATCCTGGAAACCTGCCTGAACTTAAAAAAGGAAAAATAAATTTTGTTTTTAAAGTTAATAAAAGTCTTTTCAGGACCATCCAAGCTCTTCCTAGGGAAAAGCCTAGACTTACTTTCTGTAGAAGAGGGGAGACGATTCCTGAGGTCCTGCATTCTGCCCTTATAAAGACTTGTGGTGCTGCTTTACTTAGAAACCAAAGTCCAGGGGCCAGTGCTGTGGTGCAATAGGTTAAAGCCCTGGCCTGAAGTGCCGGCATCCCATATGGGTGCCGGTTCTAGTCCCGGCTGCTCCTCTTCCAATCCAGCTCTCTGCTGTGGCCTGGGATAGCAGTAGAAGGTGGCCCAGGTTCTTGGGCCCCTGCACCCACATGGGAGACCTGGAAGAAGCTCCTGGCTCCTGGCTTCAGATCGGTGCAGCTCCGGCCATTGCGGTCATCTGGGGAGTGAACCAGTGGATGGAAGATGTCTCTCTCTGTCTCTACTTCTCTCTCTAACTCTGTCTTTCAAATAAATGTTTTAAATCTTTTAAAAGGAAAAAAAGAAAAGAAACCGAAGCCCAAGGGTGGGCATTTGGTACAGCAGTTATCACAACTTGAGAATCTCTCTTCCCGTATCAGAATGCCTGGTTTGTGTCTTGGCTTCTGATGCCATTCCAGCTTCCTGCTAATACACATTCTGGGAGATAGCAGGAAATGGCTTATGTTCTTGGGTCTCTGCCACCCACATGGGAGACCCTGCTTGAATTATTAGCTCCTAGCTTTCTCTGGTCCAGTTCTGGCTGTTGCAGCCATATGGGGAGTGAACCAACAGGTAGAATATCTTTATCTGTTTCTTTCTCTCTTTCAAATGAAATGAAAATAAATGAGTATTTTTTTAAAAAAGGAAAATCAGTCTAGTTTGGGGTGATGATTGAGGCTGGTGTGTGGTCTTGTCATGCATGTGTCTCCAACCCCAGACAGTAATAGACTGCCTAAACCTAACAGGGCCTTAGATGCCACACAGGCTGCCACCCGTTTTACAGACAAGGCAGCTGAGAGTCAAGGAGGGAAAGGATGATCATAAGGCAGTGGGGATCAAATGTGACTGATCGTTGCTCCTCTCTAGCATTCATTCAACAAATGTTTACTGTACCTTCCTCGCTGCCAGCATGGTTCTTGGTGTTGGGGATACAGTGAGAGTCAAGACAGGTATAGTCTTCACCCTCATGGAGTTTATACTGACTAAGCGTTTGCTTTATATATGTAAAAAATAAAAATAAAGCCCAATTATGTCAGGGTAGGTTGATCAGGGAAGACGGGACAGAGCTGGAAAGGGAAGGCTTATGCTGATAGCTAAATAAGAAGTAGACACAGGGCGATAAGTGTGGAGCCGGGGAAGGGCCAGAACACAGACTCTGAGATGTAAGGAGCTTGGCATGTTTAAGTGGTGGCCACGATGGTGAGCAGCAGAGAGAGGGGAAAGAGACGTGACCGCAGGAGCAGGACAAGGTCAGTTCATGCAGAGACTTGCTGGTTAGGATAAGGAATATGGATTGTTTTTTAAAGAAATAATTGTAATGGGCAGCCAGCTCATCATCAAAATTAGCTCCTTAAAATGACATTTTCCTCATTGTTATTGCTTTATTAAAGATTGCTGGGACTAGGATTCTGGTGATGAGTCAGGTCAGAAGATGGCTCAGCACAGTTACCCACCAGGTCCTGCATCTGTCAGCCAGCTCCTTCCACTCTACTAAAGACTCCTGCAACTTCTGGGAAAGAATGAAAGGAGAAGGAGCAAACAAGTTATGATGAAGCCAACTTTTAGTCAAAAATACAAACCATTTCACCTAAAAATAATATTGCGCTCATCTTGGAGCATACTGTGGCATAGGTTAGCAAAGTTTGGCAAAAACAAAACCATTAAGGCCTTCTGTTGATGAAGCTGCTGCATTTATCTCCTCCCCCTGGTCAGGCTGGTCACCCCAGTTGAGACTCAACCCCACTTAAGCCACCCCACACAGATGAGAATCTCTTCTGATTGCACCATAGGCTGATAACCAGAGGGTGGCAATCAGTGAGTCAGTGCCAAGCTCACTGAAATGGGACAGATGAGGGATACAGAGGATGAACCTGGGACTGATGGGGTCCCAAATTGCCTTTGATGACCTAGAAGGCCAAGATCTGGCTGGTCGGTGGTAGCTGTTGTGTTTTCTTTATGTTACCAATCTTTACCATGGGGGATACTGTGACACAGGGACATGGACCAGGGTCGGCACACACCTGGGGAAGAAAACACATGACCTAAATGTTAACTGGCCCTGAGCCATCAAAGTGTCTCGGGGATTGCACAAGCACTCACATGCTTGGGCCTTGCCAACCAGCAGTTGAGCTCCCATTAGACAGACAGAATTCTCAAGTTCAGCACCAGAGACCTGGCTCAGAATGCCACCTCTGCCTCCTCACTAACCGTGTGATCTTAGGTAAGTCACCTGGCCCCTCGGGGGCTCCCTGGGCTTTTCTACAATGGGAAAGGTGAACGTAGCATTGCCAACATCACAGGGCTATATTGTGAGTCCCAGAGGAAGTCATGTGAGTGAAAGGACACAGAAAGGTAGAGTGACGCCGAAAATGTCGTAGGTGTTTCAACCCCTGGGAAGTGTTGGGAGCTAGGATGTTCCTCAAAGAGTTGATGTGGATGGTGAATGGATGGAAAGGTGAAATTCCCAAGGACTGGGTATGGAGCCTGAGATTTTAATAGGAAAAGCTGAGGGCTATTCCAACCTGTGACTGGTTTCTACCCAGAGCATTGTGACTAACTTCTTTCAGGTCTGCTGAAGAGAATATAAAATGCATAATAAAAGGGGGTGTACTCTATCTCTGAAGAATGTCTTGGGAGAGTATTAAACATTGGAATGAGTTACCAAAGCTAGCTTGGTATTCTTCCTCTGATGGCCTTAGGAAAGATTCATACCTATGTGTGGGTAGCTTAAATGTGATTCTGGCTGGAGACAGGGGAAGACGCTACAAACTGAGTGTTCCCTTTTATGGTTCCTAGAGCTACGTTCACAAGAATTTCCAGGATGTGAGCTCTATGAAGATGGTTTTGTTCACTGATACATTCTAAGCACCCAGCACAAAACCTGGCACATGGTAGGTGCTTCATAAATACTCAATGGATTAAGGACATCACAAGTTTGAGCATTTGGGAGTGAGCCAGGCTTATTGCTAGGTAGTCACTCACTCTCTAGTTCACATACCTGTTATCCACGGCCTCTGCCCCTGCACACCGGTCTGAGTCTACAAGCGTACTCAAAAAGTCCGTGGGAATATGAAATTAAAAGACAAGATTATTTGGTGCAATTTTAACAAAAATATGTGTATAGTTTTTTCATAATACTCGTTTTCCATAAGGACCCCTTGTGTAAGTTACACCATGACTTTCATACCCCATGGAATTTGGACGGATTTAACAGTCCTCTTCATCAGGAATTTGCATGGGGAGCAGGGCCTCAAGTCCACGAAGGTTATGAACATACAGTAGCAGGCCTGCCAAGGACTAGCTCCAAAAGCTCCAAGACTCTGGGGGACAACTCTCAGTCATCACCTTCCAAATTGCACTTTCCACTTGTTTGGTAATGGTCCAAAAGCTTGAAATACAGGAAAAGTGAGGGATAAAGTCTCCTGGTAAGAGACATCATCTATCTCCAGCGTTTCTGAGAAATAGATGAAGGTACCAATATGTTCATTTGGGGCATGTCGTGAGTGCTTCTTGCTTGATGAAATCTAAACACAGAGAAGAAAGTGTCTAAATTGTTGTAGTTTTCTTCTTTTTGAAGTTTCCATAGACTATTGCCCTAATAATCATATTTTTCAAAAACAAACCTAACTCTAAGAAGTAGAGAGATGCCAGGTGCTGGGGTGTGTCTGTGTACTTAGAAGGCCATTGATTAAAATTGTTCTGTTATGCAGTGAGCACGCTGGAACCACAACAACCTCTGAGGCACAACAGTCCTTGAGCAGAAACATACATACTAGTTACTTGTTAGGATTCATGAAGGAGTGTGACCATGTGTGCCCAGGCCTGTTATTAGCATCAAGAGAAGGACCAGTTACAAATGCTCCAAGATTCCAGGGGCCACCTCCTCCTTCCTCATCTCCAGACAAAAAGGAGCACCTACCTCTAGGCCACCATCCAGTGTGAGGCGGGGAAAAGAGACCACTTTGTAGGACCTTAGGATGGGTCAACAAGCAAATGGGTTTAATTCAGTTATTGGCGCTTTGTGTCTGTCCTGGCATCAGATACTTCACTTCCTTCCCCTCCCCACTCTCCCTTCACCCCTGTTGTCGATGGCCCAGCAACACGAAGTCACCCCAGGGACAATCATTAGATGCACAGTGTGTGTCCTGCTTTTTGGACATTCTTAATCCTCTTCCACTGACGCCCCACACACCCTGGCAGAGGGCAGTTAAGGCGGGACTTCCCAGCCGCACTTTAAAGATGAAGAAACGGATGCCCAGCGAGGCTAAGTGGCTTATCTAGTTGCACAGGCTGGGGTAGGTAGTGGGGGCACAAGTGATGGAGACAGAACAGACTGCTTGGGTTCTCGTCTTGGCACTTACACTTAATTCGTTCTGTGACTTGGGCTTTGATGATTTCAGTTTTCCTCATCTGAAAAGTGAAAAGAAAGGGTAATCTGCTTCAAGGTGTATTTGGTAGGTTTGAAGAGATAAGGTGTCATAGTTGGCAGAGTACTTGGTGCTATCAATAAATCATAACTGTTATTATTATTACTAAGGACATCATTAGGACAGAGAGGCAGCTATTGAGCCTGATTCCTAATTTAGTGCTTTCCCCACTACAGCACTGTTCCCAGTACCAGGTTCTTGCATCCTCCTCCATCCAATCCTCTCTCCCTGCATTATCCCCACCTTTCTCACTCAAAATAGTGGAGATTTCAACTCTATAAACATTGAACTCCGTAAACCTCTGTGATCCCTTTGGCTGCTCTCTAACATTGCAACAGACGCGAAGGATGTGATGCTTCCACATCTTCGTGGCATATGGCTAAGAAAATCAGCAGGTATGGGAAAAGAAAAGCCTGTTTCCCAGGGCTGCTCCCAAAGGCTTGAGCCCTTTGAGTGTAATGAGCAAGCTGCTTCCTCTTAGCACCAACCACCAATCCTAAATGATGCCATCAGCCCGTGGCAGAGGCAGAACTGGAAAGGGGGCACTGGGACTCCTTTTCTTGAGTCTTCTCCATGACCTAGGCTGCTTGCAGTGCCCTGCGTCTGTCTCCAACAGTAGGAAGGAGGAAGAGGCAGGAGAGGGAGGAGGGTAGCTGGACAGGGCTTCCAGGCCAACCTCTACCTGCATAGTGGTTTGCACTAAGGGCTGCCACCACATCAGGAGCACTCACTATGCTGAAATCAGAGCTGGCAGCTCAGAAATTCATGATGCAACCCTCTGCAGAAGGGGCTATCTGCAGACAGCTCTATCAGAGGATGCTCTCCGGGTAACTGCCCTTGCTCTGCAATGTAATATCTCCCAGAGAAGTTGTTACAGCAAGTAGTGGGAGGGTGAAATTAATTAGGAGGCATCTGATGAGCCAGGTCAGGCCTCATTTCCTCTCACTACCAGAAAGGTGTTCCCATCCATAATTCTCGGCTGGAATCTAGACAGGGAGCACACTTGCAAGAGCCCTGCCTTCAGAGGACTTACAATTGAGTTGAAAAAGCAACTGTATAGGAAATATGTGAGATCACATGAGACAAGTCTCTAACATGTGCTGCTTTAAGGCTGAGCATTGTCTCCAGATTTTGCAGATCATTCACTAACCATTCCTTCAAATCTTAAATTTCCAGTCCACATTCCTAAGCCTTCTTGGAAGCAAGATAGTACTATTGCTATGCATTTTGATCTTTCTAAAAAATTGATTTATGTTAATTAATTATTATTAGTATGAAACTTGGCTTCCAAAATTTAGATGATATTTTCCAGAAGGGATATCTTGTTTTAAATTAGATACCAATATCCTCTGCCATCTGTTCCCTTTTCTCTTTACAACCCTATTGTGAATCTCCTCAATAATGCTATCAGTTTTATTTTGGGAAGCTAAAACTCAAATCTGGGGAAAGTATTATGAATATTTCATATATCAATATTTGACATATACACACATATGTATAACTGCTCTTTTGTTTTGTTCTGCATCACGATGCATACCTGAAAGATTGGTTTTAGTGATTGAGCGAACAGAGTTCATAGTCTGGTTGTGCAATTTACATTGCAAGCTTCAGGAAGCTCTGTATAGTCTCTAAGCCTCTGTCCCCTCTTTTTTTAAAGATTTATTTTATTTATTTGAAAGAGTTACAGAGAGAGGTAGAGACAGAGAGAGAGGTCTTCCATCTGCTGGTTCACTCCGCAGATGACCGCAATGGCTGGAGCTGCATTGATCCAAAGCCAGGAGCCAGGAGCTTCTTCCGCATCTCCCATGTGGGTGCAGGGGCCCAAGGACATGGGCCACCTTCTACTGCTATCCCAGGCCATAGCAAAGAGCTAGATTGGAAGAGGAACAGCCGGGACTAGAACCAGCACCCATATGGGATATGGCGCTTCAGGCCAGGGCATTGACCCACTTTGCCACAGCGCTGGTCCCAAGGCCTATAATCTTAACCATAATAAGTGGTGACCATTCTTATCAAGATTATTCAGTTGAAATATAAAAGTATCTTTTTATTCCTCCTTTCTTGGCTTAAATGTTGTGAATCAACTGCTGGCAACAGGATGCACTAACTGGCCTGAACCTTTTGTCAATATAAAAACAAAGTTTCCATAACTGAAATTATTTGGAAAAAGAAAATTCCTTCCTATAAGTTGGTAATAAAAGCAGACTAGTAATAATAATGTGCATTAAAAAAAAATTCCAGGAATGAGCATTTAGCCAAGTGTCTAAGACACCAAGGCCCCACACTGAGGTCCCTAGATTTAATGCTCAGCTCCAATTCCTTGACTCCAGCTTCCTGCCAATGCAGACCCTAGGAGGCCAAGGTGATGGCTCAAATAGTTAGGTTCCTGCCACTCATGTGGGAATCCTGGGTTTGGTTCCAGCATAGCCCTGGCCATCGTGGGCATTTGGGGAGTGAACTAGCCAATGGAGGTGTGACTTCTCTCTCCCTCTCCTTCTCCCTCTCCCTCTCCCTCTTCTCCTCCCTGCCCTTTCTCCCTCCCTCTTTCTTTCTTCCTCAGATAAAATCATTTTCAAAAAATCATGAGTTTCCTAGTTATAGTGAACTTCATTGTTCATCTAATTTTAGATAAAAAATTAAATGTTTAAGCTGAAAGATTAAAAAAGTCTAACGGTATAAAAAGATATGATTTGGAATGGAGAGTTTGCTTTGAGCCTTTATGACCAGATGGACAATAACTTATTGACCTGTACCCCTGGTTGATATATGCCTTGTCTTAAACAAGCACGATAAATGATGCATTGATTTAGCTTTTATTTTTTGCCAGCAATGGTAAAGTGATCTGTAGATTTGACATGATGTGTTTCTACTAGAAAGACTGCACTTACATGCTCTGTTCATTTTAAATGGAACAAATTTCATATTGTCATTTCCTTATTGAGAAATAGACAACTAAGGAATGTTATTAAGACTGTCACTGAAATACAGTGCTGATGTCAATAAGCATTTCTGTGTATGTTCTCCCTGCTGAAACCTTGTTGGCATGTCTTATTCATTTACAGAAACTGAGTGGGGGAAAAAAACCTCTCAAATGTAAAAAATTATAATGCCACTATCATTAGCCAGCAAAACCAATGGCAGGGAGAACGGAGAGAGAAACAACCCTCCAGAGCAGCTCCTGAGAAAGCTCAGCCCGGTGCACTAGCATGGAAGGTGACCTGGGGGTCTCCACTCACAGTAGACTTTATCCTGCACACACACTCAGCCTCCTCTCATCTTGGGGCCTTGCTGCACCTGTTCTTTCTTCCTGAAATGCTGTTTCACACGGATCTTTTCCCCATCGCTGCACACCCTTCAGGTGTCTACTTACAGAAGTCCCCCTCAACCTCACAAACTCAACTGGATCCCTTGTACTTTTCTTTTCTTGGGATCAAACATTGTCGTTATAATTGTGTATTTGTGTGATGTGCCACACAAGCTCCAGGGGCAGGAACAAGCACTGGCTTTAGGCATCCTCTATTCACAGACTCTGCCAAGCACTGGACACACAGTAGATGCTCAAGAAATCTAAAGAGAACCCGCGCACCTGCTGCTTGGGCCACTGCTGTTGCTTCTGCAAAAGATCATATAGGTCTTGTCTCCTTCTGACCAGATAACTTGTGCCAATGACTCATGTCTTCAGTTGCACACTGGATTGATGGGAAGCAATGCTTTTCTCAGACTTCATAACTACTTTGATAGACAGAGTCAGGGGCTTGTTTTATAGCCCCTGGGATTAAGAGATTAGTAGTGAGATGCTAAATCATTTATCAGTTTTCTCAGCACACAGGGGCACTCTTAAGAAAAAATGACCAAATGGCAGAATTGCCAGTTGGCCCGATTTTCACGGAGATGCACATGTCCTATGCCATTTGAGTTAGGGATTCACATTCTGATGTGTGACCCCAGTTAAGGGAAATGTTGACACTCCTTTCTTCCATTCCAGTAGCAGTATTAGAATGGGAGTGAATGAAAGGGACATTACTTGGTAGAGCCTGTAATGATGTTCAAAAATGTTTCTTAATAAATCAAAGTGCAAATGTTAGTTGTTTACTACATATCTCCTGATTGATTGTGATTCTGTCACAACATTGTGAATGAGACCTGCAAGTCTGGGGGACAAAATCCAAAAACCACTCAGAGAGGGACTTTGGCTAACTGCTGGGACCCCCTGGCTGCCTCCCCTGTTCATTCCACCCCATACCCTCTCCCCAACACCCTCATCCCCTCCCTGCAAGCAAACCTACTAACAGATTTCTCTGCTTCCTTCTTATTTTGCTTTCTGGGTCAGGAATTTGGTCAAAGCAAATTGGAATCTGACATCAAATTTGTCACCCTTTTCATAATCCCAATATTTTGGGGGAACCCCATTTACTTAGGCATTTTGAGAACTCTAAAGAAAGGCAGTCATGGGTCCAGCACTGTGGTGTAGTGCGTAAATCTGCCGACTGCAGGGTCAGCATCCCATATGGGTGCTGGTTCAAGTCCTGGCTGCTCCACTTCCGATCCGGCTCTCTGACATGGCCTGGGAAAGCAGTAGAGGATGGCCCAAGTCCTTGGGACCCTGCACCTGTGTGGGAGATCGGGAAGAAGCTCCCAGCTCCTGGCTTCGGATCAGTTCAGCTCCAGCTGTTGTGGCTATCTGGGAAGTGAACCAGGGGATGGAAGACCTCTGTTTCTCTCTGCCTCTCTGTAACTCTGCCTTTCAAATAAATAAATCTTTTTTTAAGACAATCATTTGTTTAGTTTCTGATCAAAATCAGAGCGCCAATGCTTAAAAGAGGGGGACCACGGTGCATCTTTGCAGTCAACTCTCATTCCTTCCACCTTCGCTCCCCACCCCGCTAACCCCCAGTCCCCTCTCTTCCTCAGTAAACAGCTCTGGAGTTTTTTATTTGTCCCTACCTCTTTCTTCTCTCACTTCTTCTTGCCTTCAAGAAGGATCCTGTGGGAAGGGCTTCTCCTATGACAGAGTCTATTAGTACGCTGGCTCTGTGCCCGCCTGGTTGCTCTCCTATGTTGCGGAGTCACGTCCACGACAGCCCCTTCACCCTTGCTCTTGGAAAGCCCTGACCTCAGCTTTCTTCTCAGAGATGCCAAAAGACACGAGATGAAATTGGCGAAGGTGACCCGTTTCTTCCTTAGTGGGCTGAGCCAGGCTCCCAATCCTCAGTCCTGTTCGCTTGCCGGAACTGGGTTTTGCCGAGGGCACGAAGTATCAACCAGTGTACTGTACTGGGATTCAGAAGACCTGGTTGCAAGTTGGGACACGACCACTCACCAGCTGCGTGACTTTAGGCAAGTCACTTCAGCTTTCTGGACATCCACAGGGTGGCTGACTTGCTATGAATGCGCCTTGATTTTGTTCCACTCTGCGCTTTCCGTATTTAGGGGTTTGTATTTAGACGCTCTTAAAAAAGAAGTTCCATGGAGTATCTACTGACCCGGTATCTCCTGGCCCAGCGGAGGCTCAGGAAAGGCCTCCCACGACTGGCCCCAGGCACTCCCACAGCCTGCACCGGCCCCCTGCCCCCACCCCACCGGGCATAGCTCTGACGGGAGCTGTGAGTGTTGGAAAGCTCCGAGGACTTCCAGAGGGGTCCATCACTCCCATTTACTCTGATTTGCGTTCAAGGCTCCTCGGTGAGGCCTCCTCCTCCCTCCGACCCCCATCGTCCTCCTCCTCCTCCTCCGGGAAGGGTGGCAGCCGCAGACCGCGCAGTTTCCTCTCGCCCGGGCCGCCCCCGGACGGCGTCCTGCCCTCTGCGCCCTGCTCGCTTGGCACTCGGGCGACCGGGAGCTCCCCCTCCGGGCGGCGTGCTGCGGCCGCCGGCGGGGTTGACAGCAGCACCCGCCGCGGGGCGGCCGCCGCGATTCGCCCGCCCGCCCGCCCACGTGCGCAGAGAGGAGCGAAGCTCGAGCAGTCGCCGCGCCCGCGCTTGCCGCCGGTGGGTGCCTCACCCCCGGGGCCGATCGGGGCCGTAACCCGAGCCCCACCATCGGGCGCTACATTTGCATAATTTGGCTCCCCTCAACCCCCCTTCTTTCGGACTCAGGGCTGGAGATGCGAGTCGGGCTCCCCTCCGAGGCGTCGTCTTGCCCGTGGTCAGCGTGGGGGCCGCGGGACAGGCCGGAGCGCAGGCGGAGCGGGCTGGCGCACGTGGTAAGAGCGCAGCTTTCTTTTCTTATTGCTTACTTTCTTTTTAGAAACAGGACTTTGTACGTTTCTGCTGAGGATGGAGCACCTACAAGGGTACTAACCTTTCTGCAATTTCTTTTTTTTAACCTTTTATTTTTATCCCCAATTGGAAAAAAGCGCGCAGCGCGAGCAGGAAACTTTCCCAAATTTGTTCTGGGGGTTTGAGGTCCTAGAGACTATCTGCCGCCAGAGACCTGCTTTTGAGGCGGGCAGGGGTGGAAGTGGTGCTCAGGTGGAGGGGCAGAAGCAGCTCCTAGCCATCCCCGGGCCCTGGACATCTTGCGCGGGCCCGGGAGGGAGCCAGCGCGCTGCGGCCGCAGCAGGTGAGCCGCGGGAGAGCCGCCTGCAGCGCCACACTCCCTCCACGGCGTGGCGCCCTGGCTCCTGCCCGCCCCGGTCCCCTGGAGGCTGGGACGGCTCAGGGTCGGGGGCGGGAAAGGGACGAGGCGGACCTGCGAGGCTGAGCCCGCACCCCTTGCCCGACCTCCACCACTCTGGAGCGGGAAAGGGCGGGAGCAGATCGCAGCCCGCACAGAGGACCACGGGCCAGGCAGGCGGCGGCGTGCTGGGCTCGGGGACCCGGGGCCAGCCTTCCGTGGAGCCCCAGAACAGAGTCGGCGCGCTCAGGGTGCGAGTTGGGGTGTCCTGGGAGGTGGGAACTGTGGCGTCCAGCGAGTCACATCCCGCCGCTACCTGGGCCTCTGAAAAGTTTTTAAAAATTACTTTCGGAACGACCAAAGAGGCTCCTACAGGAGTCGGGTCTATTTGTTTTTTTTTGATTCACAAAGGGAAACACATGTGGGGTGATGGCAGCTCCAAACCGAGGTTTAGTTACGCTCTTTGCTGTCACTCTGGACCTCGGAGTATCACTCGGGCTCCCCGAGATGGCTCTTGGCGAGGGCGAAAACTCCTCCCTGTGTGTGTTCTCTGTGTGCGTTCTGGAGTAGGGCTCCTTCACGGTTAGGGTGCACCCACCACGGGCTGGGGGCTCTCAGGGGTCGGGAGGTTGTGTGGCTGCTGGGACAGCATTGTGAGGGTGAGGATAGGGTCTTCGCAGGGCATCTAGCGCGGCTTGCCCGCACGGGCGGGCTGGGCTGCCTCGGTGGCGCGTCGGCTAGGCTGGCACTCGGGCGCGCTGTCAACAGGGAGGTGTGTAGCGTAAGGTGTGCGAGTGGGTGTGTGGAGAGGGCCGCGGGGGCGGGAGTGTGTGTAGCGGAAGTGGGGCGAGTGTGTGTGTGTGTGTGTGGCGGGGAAGGGTGAGTGTCCAAGTCTCCATCTGGCCGCCCCCACGCCGCCGACCGCCCAGACGCGCCGGGAAGGGCGCCCGCTCCGCGTAGCAGCTGGGGCAGGGGGCGGGCAGCGCGCAGGCAGAGGAAGGGGGGTGCCTCCGGTTGAGGATTTCTCTCGAAGCTCCCTACAGTTAACTCTGTTCCTCCTAGGGTCTACCCCCCCACCCCAAGGTGCCCAAAATACTTAAACAAACAAACAACCCAAACCTGTTCCGTTTTCGCTCCTGTATAAATAGAACAGACTTTCCAAAAAAGCAATACCGCATTCACTCTTATCACCAGCCATTTCTTTCCACCCAGTAATTCAGAAAAAAGCAGTCAGCTTCCGTGAATACATCTAGCTTTTTTTTTTTTCGCTGCCTCCTTTTGCTTGCGGTTTTGAGCTGCCAAGAAAGTGAGTAGGGGTTTGACTGTAGTGTCTCGGCTCCGCTCGGTTTCTTTCCGAAGTTTAATTTTCCGGAATGGCTCCCAAACAAGGGCTGGGGAGGCGGGGCCGCCGGCACCGGATCTTCGCCTTTTTTGGAAAGTCCGGGACAACCGGAATTCCTCCCCGCCTTGGGAGGCTGAGCCGCAGCCTCCACCTTCTCTCCTGTTGAGCAGGGGCCAAGGTGGGCTCCGCAGCACGCCCCCTCCCCCACCCAGCCCGGCGCCCGGGGCCGGGGCTGCGACTCCGGCAGCGCGCCCTGGACCCCCGCGTGGGACCCCCGAGAGGGCTGCGAGCTGGGGAGTCGCGAGCCCAGAGGAGCCCGCGGAGCCGAGCCCGTATGCAAATTGACCATGTGACGGCAAAAGCCGCCTGGCCCAGCCCTGTTCCTCAGTCCATATATGGGCAGTGACGTCACGGGCATTGAAGCCCTGCCCTTAAATACTTAGAGCAACACTTTTCCGTCTAACTGAGAGCAGCAATTGATTAATAGCTCGGCGAGGGGACACACTGACTGTTATAATAACACTACATCAGCAACTCCTGGCTTTCCAGCGGCCGGAACACAGGAGTCCGTGGCGAATAGCCGTGTTTTTTTTTTTTCTTAAAAAAAAAAAAGCAGCAACTTGTTTGCTAGTTTGATTTTTGTTGGATTTTTTTTGGGGGGTGGCTGTTTCCAAGTGTGGAGTGCAAAAGGAGATACCAGCCCAGGCTCAGTTCAACCTCCCTCCAAAACGGCTTCTCTGACACTCCAGGTAGCGAGGGCGTTGGGTCTCCAGGTTGTGCGAGGAGCAAATGATGACCGCCAAGGCCATAGACAAAATCCCAGTAACTCTCAGTGGTTTTGTGCACCAGCTGTCTGACAGCATTTACCCGGTGGAGGACCTCGCCGCCACGTCGGTGACCATCTTCCCCAATGCCGAGCTGGGAGGCCCCTTTGATCAGATGAACGGAGTTGCCGGAGGTAAGCAAGCGTGTGCTCTTGGCAAACTGGGACCCGCGCGGCTTGGAGGTGGTGGGTGGGGTTCGGTGGTTATGCGGGACTCGGAGGGTAGGGTCGTGGCTTGAAGTGGACGGTGGGGACTGCACTGGCTTTGAAGAGTGGAAATGGGGTGCAGAAGGAGCCCGCGGGAGCCAGGGACCAGTGCGCTGGAGCTGGGCGCGCGGGCAGATGCGCCAGGTGGCCAGCGAACTCGCGTGTGTGCGCCTCGGCGCGCCAAACCCAGGGGCGGACACTGGGATGGGGTAGAAGAAGCGCCCCTACGGGCTTCCGGCTCTTCCGGCCGGCTGTATTTCGGCCTCTCCTCTCGCTGGGTAGGGACAAAGTGACGGTAAAGTTCGGGGCTCCAGGGGAGAGATGCGCGTCTGGAGAGCAGAGCGGCGGAGATGCGCCGCCAGAGGAGAGCGTGCGTGGCTCCCGCCCTGGGCAGAGGCGACCTGGGGAGAATCTCAGAGCGCGCTCCTCCTGTGGCTTAGAGGCGCGCCCCCACCTGTGAGCCGCCCGGGAAGTGGAGGGGGTTAGCGAGGCGGGGGGGGGCCCCGGCTGGAGGTGTTGCAGGAGGACGAGCAGCCACGGGAAGCAGCCCCCGGACTGCAGAGGGAGGCCCGCGGGGGCACCGGCGACGCTGGTTTCCTTGGCGATGCCGTGGGACGTCGTCTCCCGCGGCCCCCGCGCCTTCCTTGAAGCAGGGCCACTGGCCTTGGGCCCGGGCGGGGACGCGCAGGTGTTGGGCAAAGCTGAGAAGGTTGGGAGGGAAGGCAAACCTACAAACTCCTTCCCTCCGCAGCTCCGGCATCCTCTCTGGCAGCCTTCCGCTGGAGCGCAGCGGGAGAGGAAGGGAGAGAAGGCACCAGGAATGGGGGTGGGGGACAGCCAGGAAATCACCGAGCCCCTTCTCGGGCTCCACTCTGTGGCTGGCACTTCTGGGTCGGTGCGTGGGGTTGTCTGTCCTGTCACCCCACCCCCACCTGCATACTAGTCATGAGTTTCCCCAGTAGAGGAGAGGGAGAGAAGTCCCAGGCAGATGGGGAGTTTTTAATATTGTTGTTGCTATTATTGGGTGTTGTTACTGAGGATTAGAGCCACAGATGGCTGTTTGGAGGGGCTCAGCGGAGCTCATCCCGCTTTCCTGGAGGTAGTTGGTGAGTCTTTGACTGTCCCTGGTCGCCATAGTGGGATTCTGGGCTAGCCTCTTACCATCGACAGGTCTCCACATCCCCTACCTGTTGGGCTTTGCTCCCTCACTGCAGAGTTGAGGTCTTGAGCCTGGGGAAGGGACCATGCCAGAGCGGGTGAGACGGGAGTCTTGGCTGCACGCTCATTCTCCACCTCCACTCTGCCTTTTCCCTTCCCAGATGGCATGATCAACATTGACATGACAGGAGAGAAGAGGTCTTTGGATCTCCCATATCCCAGCAGCTTTGCTCCGGTCTCCGCGCCCAGAAACCAGACCTTTACTTACATGGGCAAGTTCTCCATTGACCCCCAATACCCTGGTGCCAGCTGCTACCCAGAAGGCATCATCAATATAGTGAGCGCAGGCATTCTGCAAGGGGTCACTTCCCCAGCTTCAACCACAGCTTCGTCCAGCGTCACCTCTGCCTCTCCCAACCCACTGGCCACAGGACCCCTGGGTGTGTGCACCATGTCGCAGACACAGCCTGACCTGGACCACCTCTACTCGCCGCCACCACCGCCGCCGCCACCGTACTCTGGCTGTGCAGGAGACCTGTACCAGGACCCCTCTGCGTTCCTGTCGGCAGCCACCACCTCCACCTCCTCCTCTCTGGCCTACCCACCGCCTCCTTCTTACCCGTCCCCCAAGCCGGCCACGGACCCCAGTCTCTTCCCTATGATCCCAGACTATCCTGGATTTTTCCCGCCTCAGTGCCAGAGGGACCTCCATGGCACCGCTGGCCCAGACCGGAAGCCCTTTCCCTGCCCCCTGGACTCCCTGAGAGTCCCCCCTCCACTCACTCCACTCTCTACCATTCGTAACTTTACCCTGGGGGGCCCCAGTGCCGGGGTCACAGGACCAGGGGCCGGTGGAGGCAACGAAGGACCCCGGCTGCCAGGCAGCAGCTCGGCAGCAGCCGCCGCTGCGGCCGCCTATAACCCTCACCACCTGCCGCTGCGGCCCATTCTGAGGCCTCGCAAGTACCCCAACAGACCTAGCAAGACCCCAGTGCACGAGAGGCCATACCCGTGCCCGGCAGAAGGCTGCGACCGGCGGTTCTCACGCTCCGACGAGCTCACGCGGCACATCCGCATCCACACGGGCCACAAGCCCTTCCAGTGTCGGATTTGCATGCGCAACTTCAGCCGCAGTGACCACCTCACCACTCACATCCGCACGCACACTGGCGAGAAGCCCTTCGCCTGTGACTACTGCGGCCGCAAGTTTGCCCGGAGTGACGAGAGGAAGCGCCACACCAAGATCCACCTGAGACAGAAGGAGCGGAAAAGCAGTGCGCCCTCGTCCTCGGTGCCGGCCCCCTCCGCGGCCCCCTGCGCCGGGGGCACGCAGGCCGGGGCTGCCCTGTGCGGCAGCAACAGCAGCACTATCGGCGGAGGGCCGCTAGCCCCTTGCTCCTCTAGGACCCGGACACCTTGAGATGAGACTCAGTCTGACACCTGCTACTTCAAACCCGAGCCCCTGCCTCCACCCAAGCCCCATGACAAACACTACCCCGCTCACCTGCCCTTCCTCCCCTCCTTGGGCGGATGGCCTTGGTGGCGCCCAGCACCTCCTTTCTCCACTTAGAAGCAGGTCTCTCCTGAGCTGTAACCCATTTTAGTCTCTCCGGTTGACCATCAGCTGGAGGCAGTGGGGAGGCTGGGTGTGGGGGTGCCGGCCTAGAGGGCTGAGGTCCGGCCCTGCTTTAGGAGATTGCTTGACCAGGTTTTGCTTCTTATCTTCCCCTGCTTTTGACCCATTACTGGTTTTTGACCCTGGCTGTCAGAGCTGATGTGAGACTTTCTCTACAATAGGTTGGGAGATGCCGATCCCGTCAAGTGGGGACGGCAAAGACAAGCAAAGCTGATGTGCACTTTATGGCTCGGGACTGATTTGGGGGACGCTGTACAGTGAGTGAAGCATGGCCTTTATGCCACATTTCTGTGGTCCAAGAACAGTGAGTCAAAGCTTACCTAGTCGTCTCAACCCTGAAGCAATATGTATTATAAACTCAGAGAACAGAAGTGCAATGTGATGGGAGGGACATAGCAATATCTGCTCCTTTTTGAGTTGAGAAACGTACAGACTATTTTTTCAGTGTATATCCACTAGATTTTGTGTATTTTTGATGTGCACTGTTCTCCAAGTTCTGAACCTTTGGGAAAAAATTGTAAAGCATTTATGATCTCTTGAAATGAGTCAGAGGTTAACTTATTTAAAGGGGGATGTACATATATTCTCTTAAACTACGATGCATGCAATTGTGTTGGAAGTGTCCTTGGTGCCTTGTGTGATGTAGACAATGTTACAGTGTCTGCATGTAAATGGGTTGCCTTACTATGGAAAAAAAATCACTCCCTGGGTTTAGTATGGCTGTATATTTCTGCCTATTAATATTTGTAATTTTTTTTAGAAAGTATATTTTTGTATGCTCTGTTTTGTGACTTAAAAGTGTTACCTTTGTAGTCAAATTTCAGATAAGAATGTATATAATGTTACTGGAGCTGCTTTGTTTGGTTATTAGCTCTTAATAGTTGTGGAACAAAATAAATGATCTATTCTAACACAGAACCACTAACTGAAGTTCAGATAATGGATGGTTTATGACTATAATGTAAATAAATAGTTTTCAACAATATTTTTGCTGCAGAAATCATTGATGCAATAGGTGCTAGGTGGGAGTTAAAGTCACACCTGTGGAACTGCTTAAAAAAAAAATAACAAAGCATTAACCACCAGGGGGTTAAGATGCTTTGACCAAACCAGGACCTCCAAGTTTTCTTTGCTGGCCTGTGGACACCAACCCTCTCACTCCAAAGCAATCTCCATTCATAATCAAACACTAGTGTTTCGGGGATTTCCCCTCCGTGCATTAGTGTTAAAGTGGGGAGGCGTTGTTGACTCATTGTTCCGTCCTCTATAACAGCCTATAACTACTCTACGCTCCTGAGTGGGCTCCGGAAAATAAATACTTACAAACAAGTGCCCACTCGGAGACGACATATTTGTAACTGCTTTCAGAACCCTGACCAGGGCCTGGAACTCAGACGAGATGTGGCTTTGTGGAAAGAGGGCTGGTGTGGTCAAGCTGGAAATGACTTTCAGGTTCCAGGATTAGTCTCACGACCGCAGAAAAACTTTTTTGCAAAGTGCTATCGTCTCTTCAGATCAAAAATGCCCTGACACTGCTGATGACAGCATCGATGGGCTGCCAAAGGAATTACCCCAGGACTCATTTCTTTCCAACCTTCCCTTCCCAACTGGTCCCCCTTCTTCGGAAGAATCATTCATCTGGTTTATTGAGTTTAGAAGTGACTCTCAAGCTCATTGGTTAAGATAGGACTACACCAGCCTTAAGAAAATATGAAAGAAAATCCCAGTTAGATAGGTAAATAGGGTCCTATGGTACCGGATAATCACTGGCAAAAGAATACACGGTGGGGTTCATTTACTGATTGACTTCTGTAATGAGTTTAAATTCCACCAAAAATACTCAATTTATCCAGCAAACAGATCATGTCTTTGTGAAGTCGTGTTTCCAATCTGGGTCTAAATGTCATTTAAAGTCATCCAAGGCTCCTGGTTCTGGTTCCCTACACAGACATAGCCATGCTGGAGCACCCACAGTTGAGCTGCACCTGAAAATCCCTTTCTCTCTGTCCTTCGCTGCTGTGATGGCTCCCTCAGACCTGGCTGATTGGTGACTGGTATTTCAGAAGAGCTGATGGTCATGGCTATTCCTGGAAATCACCCTTGCCCCTACCAGCAGAATTTGAAACCCAACTTGTGGAGGAATTAGCCCTTTTCTTCTAGATCCCCTCTATCCCTGGTTCAAGGATGTTGAATACCTCTTTCTATGACTAACGGAGATTTTCAAAACTTCAGTGTCAGTTTTCTAGTGACTGCTGTTTTTCCATTAGATTCATTTTCCCCAGCTTTGTCAGCATGTTATCCTCCTTGCCTGTCCAATTCTGGTAAGTACACAACAATGCCACATTTTAATCATGTTTTTAACAAAACACATCCCTCACTAAGATTTCATTATAAAAATACAGTATACCCAAGTTTTAGAAGATACATGTACTCATCTCAGGGAATTTTTAGAGCATCTCAATCAAGATAACCTAAACCACCACTTTATAAATGTCATTTAAGACAGAAGACATTTTGATGACAGCCAAATTGGTTACGTAATCACTTTCACCTTAATGTGGGCTTGGTGAGGTAAGCAGTACACCATCAGGAACACCTCACCTCATTGTTTTCGCAGAGCCAACCACGTGGCTTCTACTCTTTAATCAGATTTTGCTGTCTACTTAAAACATTCAGGACACTTCTTATAGGCCTCTCATTTCTTACTTTATTCAAGAAAAAGTCGTAGGAAGTTAAGTGTGCTCCTTTTGCTCCCCGATGTCTGCTTTTCAGGATAATGTTATTGATGTTTCATTGGTACTGTAATTTTATTAAAAAAGAACTTCTAGGCAGTAATTCCTTAAGATTCATAATGCTTTGGGGATGGTTCAATTCATATTAAAACAGGTCAATTAAACCTAAGTAAGGTTTTCAAGAGTTCATAAACCAGGTTATTTCATTTCAATATCCTAAATGATAGAGATTAAGGCAAATTGTTTTGTATATATTACAAATAGCTTCACTGACAATTTAACAGCTCAATAAAAATTTTTTTTTGTGGGAATGATTGGTATCAACATTATAATGCTGCCAGCCTAAACCAGAATTAAGAAATACCATGGGAAAAGGAAAAACCAACAAGGAAAGAAAATATTTAAATCCCAAGATTCTTTTCTTCTAGGAGCAAAGCATTTTTGTTTTCTTGTATTAGCTTATTTCCTTTAAGTTAAATACAATTTTTTTTTCAGTTACAACAGAAGAGTATAATCAGACATTAAGTATTTTAGAAGTGTTTTCAGTCACACTGTTCCAAAGCTCACTCTCAAGAAAACTACTAACTTATTTCCTTTAAGTTAAATACAATTTTTTTTTTCAGTTACAACAGAAGAGTATAATCAGACACTAAGTATTTTAGAAGTGTTTTCAGTCACACTGTTCCAAAGCTCACTCTCAAGAAAACTACTAACTTTGTTTCTGTAACTATGTGGAACTTAGAAATCACCACTTTTTAGTATGGCATAATCTTACAGTATAGACTGAACATTTAACAGTAACCAAAATGTAGAGATCATAACAGGTAGTACTGAACTTTTCCATTTTGCAATAATAAGCTTTATCTCTAAACAACTTTAAGCATGCCTTTATTTTCCAATAGTGTTACACTGATTTTAACATTCCCGAATCTGAATACTCAGAGATTCATAAGGGCTTAACAAATGATTTCCTTCTTTGACAGCAGATACCTCATATCAATGGAAGCAATCAGTGGTCAGTTTCTGTATGTAAAATTTAGACCTGCACAGTTATAGGAGTAGCACTGCCCTCGGGTTGGAGTTGAACAGCAACTGGCAGAGCCCCATGTCAAATACACTGCTTCTTCGTTGGGCAGTAATGTTAAAGTACAGGAATCGGAATAATTTGGAATAAAGTACCCACTCCAATGGAAAAAACACATAGTACTGAAAAATCAGGCTACCGTTTTCATTAATAAACAGCAGTTGGTGTAAACGCAATCCATTCAGATCAGATTTAGTAAAAATCTCATACAAGTAGTAGGTAGCTATACAATTCTGCATTGATATACCTAGAAAATTTAAAAGCTTCAGAAGTATTTATACAATTTCTCATCACGAGAAGGAATTATTGCATTTATTATTCAACAGAGGAGTTAAGTGATTAATATCATTGTGCTCATTTAGTCTTTCCTAGGGGAAGGTCTTTTATTCCACAGTACTTGCTAAAATAGAATCTATATTGCAAGACAATATGGAAATACAATAGCAGCACATGAAGTCAGTCATGACTAAGTTTATGCATAGAGGTGCAAGGTGTTCTGTGCATTTTGTCTTTGCAATGAGCATATTCTTGCCTTAGCGGCTCCCTAGAACAAGTTACATTCTGTTTTCACCATTAATTTACTCAGAATTTATGAATCAAACATTTCCCTGTTCTAATCGAACTAGATATATTGCTGTTTTGGCCTCAAGCAATTTCAGTTACTCTCTTGAAAAGCACCTTAGTTTTTTCCTTCCAAATTGCTTGTAATTGAGAACTCCATAAACATTTTCATAATGAAGTCTTTCATAATTCTTCTCTTTATTCTTCCCTGGTGTCCTATCCCCAGGATGAGTGTTTGCCGGCCACTTTCAAATATCCCAGGTTATATTATAATATATACATCATTATCAGCAATCTTTGCAAGTCAACCAACTTTTTCCTACAATTTAATTCAAAGGTGAGTATGCCATTGGTAACCACACACATTTCTTACTGTGTTATGAAAGAAATAAACACATCTTATTTTGTGAAATTTTCTAAGAAAACCATCATTTGCATATCTTGAGTCTACTTTCAAACTGAGTGGCATAAAGAGCTGCTTCAAATTGCCTCCAAGGCATTTAAAACCACACAATCTTAGCAACCCTGGAGGAAATGCTTGGTAGTATGCCTGTGTTAGGTTTTACAGCATAGTGGTATGCTGTGTTGAACAACAACAACAAATCAAGAATTTGCTTCTTACTGTTTTAAAAACTGGGAACAAAATACTCCTTCCCCCTGGGTCTCTGCCACCCGGTGTGCACAAAGAGGCAAAGGCACAAACTGTATCCCTGCCGGGAGAGCAAACACTGCACCAGCAATAGCCAATCTCCCTTTATCACACATAGTGGCACTCTATTGCCACCTGGGCAAGTCAATCAAGAGGGCTTACACAACAGATGGGCAGACTTGAATGTGTTTATTTCTACAGTTTGTTTTTATTAAAAGTTTTGTGAAAAAAGGAATCCTATAAATAGTAAAAAGGGGGAAACAGTGCTCCATGGCCTGCAATACAGGGTGTCAGTATTATCTGTAAACCAAGTAAAGCTGCTCAATCAATTAAAGGACAAAACACGAGTCACAGAGAGCACAGCACGACTGTTCATTTCCAGAGGTGGGAGTGGGAAGTGTTTAATCCCAAGTTCTGGTGCCCTAGAATGGCTGGTGGTATAGTTAGCTCTCAGTTCTTCAGCCTTGATTTTCTGTGCCTTCTCTCTTTCTACCAAAAACCACATTAGCTGAAGCAAGCCATTGCTCTCCCCTGTTGAGGCACAGGGTTGAGCTAACAATGCCAGCAGCACAGCTTGATCCCTCAGCTCCCCAGAACATCAGCATCCCCGAGAGCAAAAGTAAAACAGTCATAAACCTAGTAATTATTTTTACAGGAAGATATCGAAGGTAAATGGAATTCAACAGCTGGCTAGGGGTGTTTTACATTCAGTCAGTGGAAGCATAACAGATCCAGCCCCCCGAATCTTCTGGTTAGAAAACACAGAATTACCCTATCACTTCTTTAAAACAAAAAAGTCACTTGAGAATACTATAGTCTTTGCATGAAAAGTGAATCTGCAACAAATCTGCTCAGCTCACAGATCTAGGGGACTCTGGGGGAAGAGAGGTCCAAGTGACCATCTGTCACCCAGGGATGCAAGTGCTGAATCTTTTAGTGGATGCTGCCTGAGTGAACCGGCTGTGGCTTGCAGGCAAGGGGAGCAAAGAAATCTTGTCCTCTGCATGCATAGTTATGTATTAAGGATGATCCCCAAACCCTGAAAAAAAATACCAATCTCACGAGTAATTAATTGGGAAAGATAGCTCACTTTAAAAGCAGCTCATGTCTTCCAACCGAGCTTTTAACAAATGACCTGAACTCAGAACAATTCAAACCACTGGGTCGTGCACAGTTAAGTCAGAACTGTAAGGAGTACGTCAGGAGTGAAAAAAAACCCCTATTTACTGGGTAGGATGGGGGGAGCGGAGAGAGGAGAAAACTATTTAGTGTGTCTCGTATAGAATGGGGCACAGGAGGCCAACATTGCATTATGGCTTTAGGATGGAAGCGCTTCAGAGAGTCCCTCCCTCCTCCCCCAAGCCCAAGCCCTGGTGGCAGTGGCAGTCCCAGGAAACAACCTAGCCTCGCGCCCACGCCGCCCCCCCAGTAACCGTGCCCGGTGGCTGCTGTCCAGTCGCTCGTGCTTCCATGGAAGTGGCTTCAGCTCATTCCAGTAGATCCAACGCCCAGCCTGGGGGGTGGGGGACCGAGAGAGCCCTTGTGGTGGGTCGCGGTGGCCAGTCCGCAATCTGGGAAAAGGACATTTTGGGCCCACCGCTCCTGGGCGCCAGCGGCTTCAAGGGAAGACCTTGGGACCTGGATAGGGCTCTCCCTCGCACCAGAAGTCATCGGCCTGCGGGGTCTCCAGGAGCCACACCTCTCGGGGCAGGTCACAGGCCGAGCCAGGGGCCTCCTTGGGCCTGACGGGCTCCAGCACCCGGTAATAGTGGCAGTCCCGGCCGTCGTCCGGGTCGTAGGGCGGAGCTAGGATGTCCAGGAAGGCGGCGGGCCCGTCCACAGCGTCGATCTGGTGCAGGTTGTCCCGGTGCGGCGTGAGCAGGCAGGGGCCGCTGGCCTCGGTGTACTCGGCCCGCGAGCGGAGCACGCCCGGCCGCACGGCATCCCGCTCCCGGGCCTGCAACGGCGGCTCGAACTGCTGCTCGGGCGGCAGGGCCCGCGGCCGCTGCCCGCCGCTCGCCTCCAGCTTGTCCATGCAGCTGATGCGCACCTTGCCGTAGAGCACCTTGAGCATGCCGTGCATGCCCGGGTGGTCGTGCAGCGGGATGGACGTGCCGCTCTTGAGCAGGAACACGCCCAGGCTGAAGCCGTCCGTCTCATAGATGTGCATGTAGGTGACGGGCGGCAGGCTGGGCGGCAGCGGCTGCAACGTGGCCTTGCGCGGGGCGATGTTCAGGTCCTCGGCGCGGACCTCGGTCAACAGGCTCTTCAGCTTGCTCAGGTTCTCCGGGAAGCCCGGCGGCATCGGCGCCTCGGGGCCCGACGCAGCGCCGCGCTCGGAAGCGCTGCGGCCGCCCCCGCTGCCCCGGAAGGTGAGGCACGCCTGGCGGGCGATCCGCTGGATCAGGGAGGCCATGTTGTCTCGGGGCATGCTCGGCTGTTCCTCCGCGTGCCGCGGTCGGCCTCCTCCTTTCCTCCGCCCCTTGCGGTCCCCGGCGGCCGCCACGGCTGCCGGCAGCCCTGAGCGAGGCGGGAGGCCCCGCAAGTACCGGCCCGCCGGGCGCGCGGCTCCGCCAGCGCCGCCGCCGCTACTCTCAGCAGCCTCTCGCCCGCAACGGCCTGGCGCGCTCGCCTGGCGCCCGCTCCGAGCGCGCACGCGCACGGCCCACTCCCCGCACTCACGCTCCGGGAGCAGGTACCCGCTGCGCGGACGGTGCCAGGCTTTGCCTTACGCCCCGTGCTCCATTCATGCGGCCCGCACCTACGACAGTGGCCGGGCGCGCTTGGGGCTCCGCAGAGCCTACCGGGACTTGTAGTCCGGTCTTCCTCCTGAGTTTCGAGAGAATTCGCGGAGTCGACTGGAAAAGGGGAGATATATTCGGCCTGTGGACACAAAACAACCTTTTCCACGGTCACAAAGTGTCTTCTTGTTTGGAAAAAGGTAAATTGAGGGCACGTGAAGTAACCCCTTGACTACAACTCCCAGCATCCCCAGCAGGCCGCGGTAAACGCACTTCCGGCAGCTGTCCGGCGAAGTAGCGGAGGCGCTTGGCTATTGCAAGAAACAGGGCAAGAGGGTCGTTAACCTTCTGGCGCCGCCCGGGCCTCGTCAGCCCTCTAAGGTCGCCTGTCTTTGGCCTTGTCCCTGGGAAGGAGGCTGTGGCGTCAGCCTTAGCTCCTTGTAGCCGTCTGGGCAGCGGTGTCTGCCAGTGAGGTTGTAGGGCGGGGCTGTCGTAATTGTCTAAGTTTCTTAGGAGGTGAGGGGGTCGAGTTGGTCCCTGGTGACCGCCAAGTTACTCAGCACAGCTGGGGCCAGCTGTTGTTTGCATCAGCGCCTGGTGACGCTGCTTTTTTGGTTACAGAGCACACTCGTTTTTTGCTGGGAGGACTTGCGAGGCCATTTGCTGCTGTCACAGATTTTTGTATACCAATTGTTAGCAAACTTTGGTTTGCCTGAGAAGCACCTGCTTCAGGGAAGGGAGTTTGTTTTATAAGTGCAGATTCTGGTTTTCGCTAGAGGTCTGTTGACTAGATGATTGTGAGGCGTCCTAGCAGAAACAATGGCGTGCAGCTATTGAGAAGTTAGTTCACGATACAGAGGTATTGTTCTCTGAGAAGTGTGCTGACTTTTGGCAGAAGTAGATGATGCCTGGAAAAACAGGACAGTAGATACCATAACTTCAAACTTAACCTGAGTTTGAAGTCTTTTTGGACTTTGAAAGCTAAACATGGGTTTCTTGCACATTTTGTATTTGGAGTGGCTCGGTAAATCATCTCTAGTTGAGATAGGCCTGCTTTTTTAGTGGGTTATGTAACCTAATGAGTACTCACAATATGCCAGGCACTGTGTTAAGTGCGTTATGTAATGAATGTTGTACTAGTTAATCCTCACAGCAGCTCTTGAGAGGTAGGCACTGTTGCTATTATTGCCAGTTTGCAGATGAAGGAAGAAGTTACAGGAGGAGAGTGGCTAGTAAGTAATCAGGTGTAAGTACCAAAGCAGAAATAGTTCCAAATTTACCAAGAACAGCAGCTTGAATTGGTATAAAAAGCACCAAATGGGGAGTTATTTTTCCAGGCTACCGTGCCACTTAACAAGCTGTGTGTCTTTAGGCAGTTGCTAGCCTTTCTGGTCATCACTGTATTCGTCGGTAAAATCCTGGTGTTAACAGTTCTGTGAATCTTAGTTATTTATGAGAAGCCCCTGGGGAGCTTCGCAAAATTAAAAATTTGGGGGTCACACCCCGGAGAATCTTATTCAGAAGACCTGGAGTAAAACGTAGGGTTTTTATTTTTAAGGTGTGCCCCCAAGAGATTCTTGATAATCAGCCCAGTTTGGGAACCACTGCTAAATCTGTAGATAGTGAGCTCGCTCTTAATAGTAGGTGTTTCTAATTAAGAGGGTAATTATTTGCTTTCTAAAAGAATTTTTGGGGCTGACACTATGGCACAGTGGTTAAACCACACTTGCAACTCTGGCATCCCATATTGGAGTGCTGGTTTGAGTCCTGACATTCCGCTTCTTATCCATCTTCCTGCTAATGCGTTTGGGAAGGCATGTGCTGCCCACATGCAAGCCCTGGATGGAATTCCTGGCTCCTGGCTTCAGCCTGGCTCATTCCTGGCTGTTGCAATCATTTAGGGAATGAACCAGCAGATTGATGATCTCTCTCTCTCTCTCTCTCTCTCTCTCTCTCTCTCTCTCTCTCTCTCTCCCCCTCCCTCCCTCCCTCCCTCTCCCTCTCCCCTCCCCCTCCCCCCACCTTCCCTCTGTCACTTTACCTTTGAAATAAATAAATAATAAGAATTTTAAAAAGGTAAAAGTTGTACTTAAAGACCAAATACTGAAGTGGAATTTGAGTAAATACTGAAATGGAATTTGACTGGTCTTGAGACTCAGCCTCAGGATAGAGATTTTAAAAACAGAATTTTTTTTTACAGGTTAAACCATCTACCTGGTTGAACCATCCCAGAGGTCCTTGCTACTCATCCTTTGGTATAAAAGTTCAAAGTTTCCAAAGACTACATCTATCAGAAACGTCTGAGGGTATTTGTCCAAAGTACAGACTCCCAGATCATGTCAACCCTGTTGCATCTTTTGCACATTAAAGTGTTTATGTACTGCTGAGGGTCCACAGGGCATGTGATATTTTTTAGGTCAGACGCAAGCTACCTCCATAATTTCTGGTGATGTTTCCCTACAGAACTTCACTAATGGATGAGATTAACTCCAGGGGATTTTGCCTTTTTTTAAAAAAATTATTTTATTTTATTTGAAAGGCCAACAGAGAGATCTTCCATCTACAGGTTCACCCACTAAATGGCCACAATGACCAGGGTGGCAGCAGGGGCCCAAGTACCTGAGCCATCATCTGCTGTTTTCTCAGGTACATTAGCAGGGAGCTGAATCAAAATATGGGATGCTGGCATTGCAAGTGGTGGCTTAACCAGATGCCCCACAATGCCAGCTCCCAGGGGCTCTTGCTTAAGAGCCTCTGCTTTGCTGACAGTAGCACTGGGTTTCTGTTAGTATTAACATCCTTCCTTTAAATGCTCTTTATTCTGTATTCCTCAGTGTGGCGGTAAGCACAGTGAAGACCAAAAGAAATTCAGAAAAGGGGACAGACAAGAAAGAAGTGAGGATGAACAAGCACTAGGAAAATACATGGCAGAAACAAGGCTTGGGAAAAGCTGGGGTAGAGGGAACTCATCACTTGATAAATAGTAAGTATCCACTGGATGCCAAGTATCGCTCTAGGCTTTAGGGACACCGTAAGGAACAAGGTGTGAATTCACAAGCAGTTTACCTGCAAATATGTGTGTATGCTTGGGAGGAAGGTATGCTGTGATTTGTCTTTGTACCCCAAAAGTTCATGTCAGAAACCTAATCCCCAAATTCATATGTTGAAGGTATTCAGAGGAGGGGCCCTTAGGAGTCATTAGGGTTAGTTGAGGTTATCAAGGTGGGGAAACCCCCCTGATGGGTTAGTGACTTTGTAAGAAGAAAGGACACCTGCGTTGACTTGCCCCTTCTGCCTTCCCACGTGATACCCTCTGCCACATTAGGAAGCAGCGAGAAGGCCCTTACTGGGTACTGGGACTGTGTTCATGGGCTCCCTAGATTCCATAATTGTAAGGAATAAATCTGTTCTTTATATATTACCCCGTCTCAAGTATTGTGTTGGAGCAACAAAAGACATGTTGCTAAACAGTATGAATAATTGAGCAGCAAGATTTCAGAGATAATTTATGGAGACAATGAAACAGCGTAATTGGGCAGTATGATATGTGTGTGTGTGATACGTTACTTCCAATAAGGTTGTCAGGAGTGAGCAGAGTAACAGTTGAATATTAAGGAGTTGACTGTGGGAAAATCTGTGGTCAGAGCATTCCGAGATCAGGAAACAGCTTAGGGTTTGTTAAACAGTGCATCAAATCCATGACTTTGACCAAGTAGGGAGGAACTTGGTACTAATGGGGAAAAGGATGCAGGTCTGTGGGATTAGACTACATGGTGAGTTTCAGGTTTTCTGGAGGGGAAGAAGTTGGAGAGGCAGGGCAAGGGCCACATTATGTTGGCTATATAAACCACAGGAGGGTTTTCCAGGAGGTCGTAGGCTGTGGAAGGGAGCTGGGTTTTATTACTACATTATTAGTGTATTGAGAAACCTTTGGGTAGAGGAGTAACTTGACCTGTTTTACATTTTTTAGAGGTGGGTGGTGGCACAAGTGTGATAGTGGGGAAACCCAGAGTGGAGGCAGTGTTGCAGAGGAAAGTAGAAAATCAGTGTCAAGGTTGGGAATCTTGCAGATGCAGCCGATAGGACTTGCTGCTGAACTGTTGCTTTGGCAATCTCCTTCAGGTTAAATTCTCTCCTGATTTTCTCTTTCATGAGTTGACAGTTCTGTGGTTATAGGGAAGACTAGTAAGGCTTAAATCCCAGCTTCTCCCCATGTCTATTAAATTTAGGCATGAGGGAAGCACACAGAAGCATGCGTAAAGCTGAGATTTTTCTTCCTTGGGACTGGAAGAGCCCCTAGCCTATATCAGTTTAATGCCACCTGCTCGTGTGTATGATCTTGTCTTTCTTTGGGAGCTAGACATGTATCTTTACTTGTCATCCTTCTTTCCTCCACTTTATGATGACTTAGTTTTCCTTAATTCACAAGATAAATCATCTTCGATGTTTGTACTTTTTTCAGAATTCATTTTGTCCATCTCTTTTGGTCATACTAGGACCAGTTGAAAGAGTATATGTGTATGGGCCGGCGCCGCGGCTCAATAGGCTAATCCTCCACCTTGCGGTGTTGGCACACTGGGTTCTAGTCCCGGTCGGGGCACCAGATTCTGTCCGGGTTGCTCCTCTTCCAGTCCAGCTCTCTGCTGTGGCCAGGGAGTGCAGTGGAGGATGGCCCAAGTGCTTGGGCCCTGCACCTGCATGGGAGACCAGGAAAAGCACCTGGCTCCTGGCTTCGGATCAGCGCGGTGCGCCGGCCGCAGTGCACCGGCTGCGGCAGCCATTGGAGGGTGAACCAATGGCAAAGGAAGACCTTTCTCTCTGTCTCTCTCTCTCACTGTCCACTCTGCCTGTCAAAAAAAAAAAAAAAAAAAAGAAATGAATGTCAAGTTATGGGAAAAAGTAAGTAGTTGCAAAACTAGAACTGGAGGCATGGCTTTGTCACCAGGTAGCCCGTTGACCTCACTAGACCCCAGTTTCTTCTCAGCCCATATGCAGGATGGAGACAATTACAAGAACAATTCAGACAAGTCTAAGTTTACATATATCATTTGTCTAAAAGTTATTATACTATAACCTGGTTATCTCTGTCTGTTTCCACCAAGATCTTGAAAGTAACTGAGCTGCTTCCTACTCTGGTTTAACCTTGAATGTTATCTGTCATCATGTCACTGTGGTGCATGGGCTGCCTAGTTAAGTAGACCAAGCCTAGGGGTTTTTCGTGTTCGGGTCAGATTTGG